TTTTTAACAATCACACCAGCCTTTCACCCATAGCCAGGCATTGCATTTCCCCCCCCCCCCCCCCCCCCCCCGGTAAAAGCAAAACCGATCCAACCCACAACAATGCTCAAATCACTGTTCCTCTCAACCCTCACCCTCCTCGCATTTTCCAACCCAGTCGTGGCAGGCTCATGGGCCTGGCGCTGCTCCCGCGGATCCTGCAAAAACAACGGAGACTGCGGATCGTAACCACCCCGAGTATGATGGAGCGTACAATTGCGTAAGTTTTGGAACTTTCGTTGTTTCTTTTTCCTAGATGGTGGTCAGATGGAGTCTCGGATCCATGATTTTGGTTTGGGGATGTCGGGTAGTCAAATTGACTGATATGTTGTTTTAACGCTCCTTCACCGTTCCCAACAGCAAATCTATTTCCTGGTCGCGGAACCTCACTGCCAGTACTGGTCTAACCGTGATGACTGGCCTATTGGGTCTTGCTAAACATACGGGGTAGTCGGAGTCGATGGGTGCAGGGATTAGAGACGCACATAGAATCTTGATTATGTTTGTTTCCCATACCTTCGCCCCCCTTCTAGAAGCTATAGAGACAGCAAAGGATATTGCTTTGAAGTCTTTGATAGAGTATGTAAAAGGAGATTCGTTCAATGTAAACGGTGTTCTTTGCTTTTCTCCATCATAGTCTGTCGGCAAACTGTTTGTGTCTCTGTACGTGTGGTCGGCACAGATACAGTTGACCCCCCCTTGCGTGAGGGACCATGATGTTTTCATGCATGTTTTCTCCCAACCCTACAACTTCTACAGCACCCGTCTGGTATCTGGCCACCACTTCATTGCACTGGCAGGGAAGCGCTTCCCCGTTACCCCACTTTCCCAGCCCACAACACTTGTGAATAAAGATGCTTTGGAACACATAATTTCCGGCACCATCATCCATAACTTCATCCCGGGCGCGTCGGTTGGATTGCCTGCAATATGTATCAAAAGTTAGTTTCCAAACGTCGCATTGCGTGCTTATTGAATGATGCTTGATGTCACTATCAACTCGAAGTTCACACAGTACCTTGAGGTGCGTTCCATTGAGTGTGGAGCACCTCCGCCACACTACACGTCCAACTCTTATATGCGGCATCAGGTCATCATCCGGAATATCAAAATAGGGATATGGGAACTGTTTACTTCTGCATTCCTTCAGTGCAGCAGATGCGGTAGGGTAGAATCCTTGAACGCTTTGATGAACAATAAGGGAAAATTCGTCTTCGTGACCCTTGAATGCTCCTTCTGTGCGCAGACGTATGAATGCTTTGACGTTTGCGATAAATTCGGGGAAGGGGCTGTTGATGAGGGATTGAAAGCGTTCTGGGACAGAGTCTATTCACAAAGCAGATGCGTCAATACTCCATAACCCTGTTGTTGGGAAGATATGCTACGCGCCATCATCACCTGCATTTTCTTCAAGTTCTTGGATGTGTTGATGAACGTGCACTAAGACCCAGCTGTCAACACTTTGCTGGACGTTATTTAACCAGGTAGCTTACTGGACAACTCCACCATGCGAATGATCTTCCTACAACCGCAAGGGCAATGGACCATTTGTCTATCATCGTCGCTACAAAAAAGCATAACATCACGGATTCGTCGAGGTTGCAGGAAATGGACTTTCACTGATCTTTTCGGACCTGCCCAGTACCTTGGCGCCTCCAATGCGGCTAGTTCGTGCATTGTTAAATGGCGCCGATCCACGTGGTCAGTTAAGTGCGGCTTTCCCACAGCTTTGTGGCCACAAGGAGTTCCGTGCGCTTCTCCAAAATGGCATATGCATTGGACCATGACGTAGGCTGTCAGTACAAAAATGGGCAACTTATTTGGGTGGAATAGCGTTGAAACACTTGAACTCTCCACTCCCGCGCTGTTTATGGGAAGCCCAGCTGTCGTTTCCATTTCCCATACAGTAGGGATCGCCCTCAAGGTTTGCAAGTGAATACCGCGCCACATTGTGTTGGTGGAACCGCGTGTGTCATACGCAGCGCCTGATGATCATCCTCCAAGCCTCCCCCACTGGACCCCTAGATCCCGATAAATAAACAATGGCCTGTAAGTTATTTGTCAACTATATTGAAGGGCGAACGATGATACCCTCAGCGATGTCGTGAGCCATCAATACGTACCACGAAGTTGGAGGACAATTCCCTATCCACCAACTCATACTGCGTAGCAGAGTTGATCGCTTCTGAGCCATTTATTGAAATCCAAGGGACACTGAAACGTTGAAGGTACTGAAGGTGATAACGTCCCGTGCGGCCCAAGACAAACATCTCTGTAAAAAACAACTGCACGCATTGTCGTCGTGCTCAGTGTTGCGAAAATCCGGCTGAACTCAACCAATGAAGAAAAGGAAGACCAAAAGTGTGTGGTGGTGACCATATTGATCTGATCACTGATATACTGCCGATGTTATCGATCCGTGTGGTTTATGGACTGGTTTTGTTCCGGCAAAACAGTGCTCCTGTGACCTAATACGAATCCCCCACTCTCAAAGCGTTAGGATGCCCAATTTACTTGGCTTATTGGTCGGTTCTTTCTGTTTCATACGTTGAATTGCATGCACAAGTTTCAATGGTCAAGGTGCAATTCCTTGAACAATTGCCAGGAAACTCTCCACGTCAAGCCAGAGCACAGCCACCACAATGGTGATTCAATCATCTTCACGACATCAGATAAAACCACATCCTGACCCTAGATCATATTTGACCACGTCAGCTGCCCATTAGACAAAGTGAAAGTGACAGCCGACATGCGAACGACCGTGGCGGACGAGCGGTAATCTGATACTGTGAGACCCGAGGTGACAGTAACATTGTGCGATAGATTATTCAGCCGCGACTGGGTCCAGAATGGTGCTTGCGTGATGTTGAGGATTGTGGATTCGTCATTTGAGAATAACATCCGGTGCTCATATCGGTTAGCGAGAGTTGGTTCTGTTGGGCGAATGATCAGGAACTATATGATGCGGACGAGCAAGCGCCGATGAGTACTGAATGCTTTTGGATTGGAAATCATACCAATTCCATGTGAGAAGTAACGTACTAATCCATAAGACAATGGGTTACCTGCCCAAGGTGCAGGGTTATCTATTTGAAATGTCATTCCCGGTATAACATAACTATTTGTACCACTCGCGACGAAACGTAAGTCTACACCCGCGAGCTGCCGGATGTACCCGGATCCCGTTCCCGTCCCATTGACCACTCCACTTGCATCCAGTAATGCCAAACTTATCAACAAAACTTCCAAAATATACTGATTGAACGGCGCCGCATTCACTTTGTTGGCGATACTCAAACCCGTCCAGCCTGTCACTCTATAGCTAGAACCAATCTGACCAGTTTGTGCAGGCGTGTACCAGGTTGGTGTGGAGTAGATGAAGCGGTATCCCAGGTTCCGTACGATGTCGTCATAACAACCCTCTTTTTTCCAGTAGTCGAGGATGGCGGGCCATTGGCCATCGTTCAGGAGGGACCAATGCTTGGAGGCGGTACGGGAGAGTGAAACGGGGCAGATATAAGAAACTGAGTCAGCTGTGGAGCAAGACTCGCCAGCCAGGGGACGTATAGAGTTTCAGCTTGCACAAGTTGTATGTCAAGCGGTCCGCGGAATGTGCCCTTATGGTTATATCGAGAATGGTTGACTTGGTCGGGAAAGAATCGTCGTGTTGCAAGTGTTCTCTATAACGTCCATGAATGATACTAACCTCATCATTTTCGTCGCCCACAAAACAATCATTATGATATTCAATTCTTGCCGCCGTCGTGTTCGTGTACGCACTAGTAGAATTCACTGTTGGATTGGCAGTCATGGTGTTCGGATTCATGCCCAGATAGCGCTGCTTGTAGGCTGGTATGCGCGTCAAGAGGAACTTGTTTGGTGTCATTCCCACTTTCATGATTGCCGCTCGATTCGCCCAGGCCGCGTCATCAATGACACCTTGATCCGCCCTTAATGCCCACACTTCTGA